GACATTAAGAGAGAGATTTTATCTGTAGCTATAAGTATTTTTCTTGGTTGTTTGAAGTTTTGTATTTATATTATAAAAATGGGTGTAATTTTGATTGTAAGAGTTTTATGTATTGATGAACCAGATAATGACGATTGTCCAAAATTATGTCACCATACAACAATTGCAATTGAGAATATCTGAACAGTATTTTTACCTTTCTTCCATCATGTGTTTCTGTCTTTATTGCATTTTTAAAGTGATTTATTTCCATCAATGTTTGAGAAATGTAGTTACTTACTAATATTTTACTGATATAAATTGTTCTGTCTTAGTGAAGGTCATTCAGTCATATAGGTTTGTTTTACATTATCTTTCTAGAATTGATGTGATTCTCATAGTTTCAAGACCTTATTCTTTTTCTTAAGCGTTTGCTATATTCAGGCAGATTGCCTAAGAGATAAGGTATAAAAATGTTGTTCTCTTGGAGGCAGTTAATTTAAATGAATTTAAGAGAAAGTTTGATAACTATATAAATGATAAGGGTTGGATTTAAGTTTTTTCCCTAATTCATTTATTTAATAGTTTTCGTTTAGTTTAGAAGATGGACCAATAGGTCCCTTGTTGTCCCTAAACATTGTTATGTTAAAATGGGATTCACTATTAAAATGAGCACCAAAAATTATCATTATTGTTTGGATAAAATGTGTTTTTAACTGTTACAGATTGAAAGAAGTGAAGGAACTTAACAAGGCTGTTAGTCACTTGACAAAAAAACAGGAACTTTTGGATCATGGTTTTATACCTTATTCAGTCATGCCAGGCATAATCTCTCTACTGAAAAAAGGGCTAGGAAAAAGAATTCATACCTTGGATGTACAGTGTTTGTTGACGGAAATGGTAAAGGCTTATTACCATTCTTGAAAACGAAAATTTTTTTTAAATTTTGTCAAGTCAATTTCAAAGCTTTAAGATAGTAATGAGGATTATTAGTTTGTTTTTATAATTAACTAACTATCATAACTAACTAAACCTAATATGGTTCTTCGATAACAGTTAATAATCAAAACTGACTATTAAATTAATTCTTTCCAGAACAATAAAACACTTTAAAATAATACAAATTATTAATTCAGGGTGTTAGGAAAACACATAGTTTCAAAAAAAATCTATTAAAGACAAAAATACAACCCCCCCCCCCCAAAAAAAAAAGGTCCATATTTAAAAGCACTTGGGTGATAATGTTTTGTATAAATGTTTGTGTTACTACTTTATAAAAAAAAATTGTGTTGTTTTTTTGTAGTGGACGTCTGCCGAAGATCCTCCAAATCCAAATTACGATGGAGAGATACTCATAGGTATTCTTATGAATCAGGACTATGCTACAAATATTTTGGATAAAGGACCTCCTGCTGATTCTCCAGAGGTGAAACTTCCACAAAAAAATATATATTTGATTATAACTATGTTTTGGGGTACACTTTTTCTGCCCAAGGTGCTTTGTATAATCGTAAGACTTGTTTATTTTAAAAATGGAGGCAGAGAGTCCATCTTACTTAGAAGTGTGAAAGGTGGATATTTCTGTACATATGTGACCTTTTAAAAAATATCTAGAGCAAAAG